CTCTGGAAATTTCCACTACATGCATCTGACGAAGTGGGTCTTTGCCCACGAAAGCTTATGCTCCTACACTTCAGTTAGTCTATAAGGTGCCACAGGACTCCTCGTCGCTTTTGCAGATTCAGACTAACACGGCTACCCCTCTGATAGTGTCTTTGGGGTAGACCTCTCCTCTTCTCCCCCCTTGACTGGATGTTTCATATGCAGCCTCCTGCTGGCTGGCCTCTGTGGCATGGTCCTCTTCAGCAACAGCAGCGCCTTCCTCAGCGGCAGTCAGCCCAGAGTGAGCGGCTCCACAGGCTTGTATAGCTTGCCTCCATTTGGCGTGTGCCCAGCAGGGCTGTGGGAGTGGGGCCTCCTCAGCCAGGTGAGCTAAGTTAACTCCCTCTCAGCCCTATTGCAGGATTGATACACCTCATCACAGGCAGGTTAAAACAAACAGCTAAGATTTAGTCCCTATTCAAAGTAAGTAAGGTGCCAAATAAAAAGGAAGCTCCTGATGAGTAAAGTCTTATTTTTCCACAAGAGCCTAGTCTTAGATTTGCTGAAATAAGATTATGTAAAAAGGGCAAGTTGTTATAAATGACCAGCTATGGGTTTTAAAATAATTGGTGTTAATACCCTTCTTTGCTTCTTAATACTATATAAAGAAGAAATGAAAGGGTTTTCTGGAATTTGGTTATTCTGTTTGATTGACTTTAGAAAGATCAGTAATTATTAAATTTAGCCTTCTCAGGTTTTCCTGGAGGAATTCCTATGGGTTTTAGAGCATGTGTATTATGAGCTCTTGCACCTCCATTAACAAAGATGTATACTTGCCAAAATGTCTGTTAAACACTGAATTTAAATAAATGCTATACAAAAAAAACAAAAATCAAACACCTTTAAGAAACTGCTCAGCTTTTAGTTCCTTGACTCCTATGGTATCATAATTTTGTGACATTACCGGCCACTGCAAACTCTCCCAGTGCAGGCAGAAACTGAAAATTAGTTTTATAAAAGAAAAAAGACAGGAGGCTGAGGCAATGTTACATACAGACTTTCAGACCTCAAACAGGAGCAAAAGATTTTATTGGGGGGGAGGGGAGCACAGATGGGAAATGAGAGATTTGTCCTAGATATGGGGGGAACATTTTGGGAATAGTATCAGAAATATTAAGAACCTTCTTTTTTTGACTCAGCCTCAACTTTTAATAGTAACCTCCATGCTGTTCCCATCTCCTCCCAGATTACATTCCCCTCTAAGTTTCTCTACTGATTACAGAGCTGCTTAAACCATAGAGCTAATAGTAACTTTTATAACCCTTTGATGACATTTTCTATTCTTATAAGCAAACCTATAAAAACAGTTAATTGTTTTTGCTCTTATGATACACTAGCCTCTGCTGCACAGTTTAAACAAAGATTGACTATTTATTGTAAGAAACAGACCTTCCCTACCCATTCATGTAATCAAATTAACCTTTACATAAACGTCCATGGGACTGGTAAAGGATATTAGAAAAATTCAGAAAGATCTTTTACAAATTGCACATACTTAAGACGACAAACTTGATTCTGAATGTTTTTGTCACATAGTTCAAAAGGGACAGGTTCACAAAACTATTCTGTCTATAATGTTGAGAAACAAAAGAAAATAGGGTAATTTTTAACCAGGTTGGGCAGTGCAAATCACAAAGTCTGCATTCAAAAATAATATGAATGTTCCAACATCTTCCAATAGAACAAAAGCAGGAAGAGCATTTAGCTCCTCGTGTATACACTCAGTGGCTGCCAGTTAAGTGAGAGTTGTTATTCTGACTAGATTCTTAAACCATACTCATACTGCAGTATTGAGTGCATTTAGCGACAAGTCTGTCGCATGTGGTTCCCTCCCTCTTTCATCCGCTTCTTAGTAGGGTTGCCAGATGGTTGAAACAAAAATACCAAGCCCCCCTCCCCCCCCCCCCAAAAAAAACAAAAAAATTTTGTTGAAGGGGGAAAAAAGGGGGGGGGAGACCAAAGTTGTTGAGGGAAAAAAAAAAAAAAGACACCAAGACCATTTTGTGCCGGCAGCCTTGCAGAACCAGGTAAGCATGGGGGCTGGGGGTGTTGTGAGCCGGGGGAGGGGGCTCAAGGAGGACGGGAGGCAAGTTGTTTCTCAGTTTAAATCTCTGTGGTAATCACAGGGATAGGATCACTGCTAGGGTTACCAGATAGTCATTAAAAAAAAATACCAGCCACACTTCATGGGGGGAGGAGGGGAAGGACCGGCCAGGAGGGGAGCTGTGCTGGCTGGGAAGGGGGTGGTGGTGAGAAACAGAGCTAATGCGGTGGGGGGCAACGGGGCTGGCCAGGGGAGATGGGGGGGCCGATGGGAAGCAGGGCTGGTCATGCGGGGAGGAGGGTGTCGGACGGAACAGGGCTGGCTGCAGGATCATAGAATCATAGAATACTAGAACTGGAAGGGACCTCGAGAGGTCATTGAGTCTAGTCCCCTGCCCCCATAGCAGGACCAAATACTGTCGAGACCATCCCTGATAGACATTTATCTAACCTACTCTTAAATGTCTCCAGAGATGGAGATTCCACAACCTCCCCAGGCAATTTATTCCAGTGTTTAACCATCCTGACAGTTAGGAACTTTTCCCTAATGTCCAACCTAAACCTCTCTTGCTGCAGTTTAAGCCCATTGCTTCTTGTTCTAGCCTCAGAGGCCAAGATAAACAAGTTTTCTCCCTCCTCCTTATGACACCCTTTTAGATACCTGAAAACGGCTATCCCCCCTCAATCTTCTCTTTTCTAATCTAAACAAACCCAGTTCTTTCAGTCTTCCTTCATAGGTCATGTTCTCTAGACCTTTTAATCATTCTTGTTGCTCTTCTCTGGACCCCCTCCAATTTCTCCACATCTTTCCTTAAATGCGATATCGGGGAGGGAGGGAAGGAGGCAGAGCTGGCCGGGAGAACTTAGAAGGAGGGGAGAACTGGCCGCCAGAAGCAAGACTGGCAGGGGGGTGCAGCAGGGCTGGTCGGGGAAGATCTGGAGCAGGAACCGGCCACCAGGACGCAGAGCTGGTGGAGGGGGCAGGGGAGCAAATCAGCTGGTGGGAAGCAGAACTGACCCGGGCTGTGCAGATCTCAGGGCACTCCCATCCCGCGTGAGTCAGTTGGGCTGCAGCTCCACCACGTGCTTGACCAGCATGCAGGAGCATGGACTAGGCTGCCCCTCCTCTTCCTTCCACGCAACCAGGGCTCCCAGCACCAATCGCACCCTGCCTCCCAGTCACTTCCCCGCCCCCCCCAAGCTTCCCTCCAGCGCCCAGCCGGAAAGCCAGGAAATATCAGATATTGCACGTCTGGTATTTTCTTGATTTTTTGTATCCGACAGAGGGCCCAAAAACTGGACTGTCCGGTAGAAAACCAGACACCTGGCAACCCTACTTCTTTGGGGGCAAAAATTGTGCTCACACTATACTGTTTTGGCAGGTTTTTTTTTTTTTTTAAATGTTCATCCTGCTCTGTTTATATTAAAGAAGGTACTCAAAGAAATGTACCTTGCACTTGGATTGGAATGTAGTGAGTCTGTGATGGTCTCATTCCTGTGGGAATTTGTCCCATAGGTTTCGGCCAGCCTCTGAGAAAGCTCTCTGAGCATTAAGGTAGCATATGGTGTTGGCTCGCAGAAGGATACAAAATTGAATATATGTTATACCTGGCTACAATCATAAGCAACGATATGAACAGACTATCATGATCAAGACTCAGATAGACTTTGTCCCATATTACACAGTGCCTAGCACAATGATTAAAACTATATTCCTCAGCATTGTCATTTATTCTAAACAACTAGGCAAGATCAGCCCATACTCAGAATTTCCAACACCAAGCATTCAAAAATCATGACTCTGGACTCCAAAAACAAATTACTGAAAAAATCATATTACTTAGGAAAAAAAAAAATTTGTCTGCTATTGCCTGTAGGTTACACTGCATACCTATTTTCAATTTTTTCTCTGCAATCTTGGGGGCTAATAAACCGCCTTTTTTAAAATGAAAGCTGATCTGACTCAAACAACACCTATATAATGCAACTTGCAATCAAATGGAAATACTATATATTTGGATGTTTAGTGCACAAGGATCTGCTTCATGAATGGCAAATCAAATATCAGCATCACTGACTATATTAGTGACCAGTGTTCTCACACTCATTAAAATTTAGAAGGATAATAAATACAAACAGGTAGTAGTTAGCCACAGTCCTGTACCTCACATCACTGCTCTGAATAATGCTGCTATCTTCATGAAATTTTCCAACAGATATGGAAAGATAATGGGACAGGAGACATGTGCAAAGACAAACATCTGTAAACCCTCCTTTACACACCCACTTCTCTCTCTTGCCCTGGCATTATTTTAGACAAATATATTCTAATTAATTTAAATTCATTTGGTGCTCTCACAAAATCATCCTTCAGTGAGTCTAAAGTAGAATGTCCCAAGAGCCTTTGATTTCCCCTCTGCATGCAGAGACATGTGCTTAATTAAAACTTTCTATTAAAGCACCATTAGCTACACTCACAAAGTATACAAAGTTGTACTTAGACTTTCTACCAGAAAACCAGCAGTGCTGACTCTTCCCTTAAGTTAATGAAAGGTAGTTTAAAATATCAATGAAAAGGAGGATTTATGACCATACAGTATATAAATATACAGCAACAATATAAAATATTGCTACCATCTTCAGTTGGCACAATACAATCACAGATGCAGTCTCTTGTTTGCTTCTGACTGACTACTTATACTACTGAATACTTATTGGTGACACTACATCAGTTATCTTCTAGATCATCATAATAAAGTAAATCACCAAATCTGAGCCTTGAAAAGGTATTAGGGAACTGCATGAGCAAATCCCATTATTAAACAAGATGTGTGCAGACTGCTCCAATTCACCACTTTCAGGCTCATACATAAAAAAAAAAAAAAAAAAAAAAAAAGTTACTGGATGTAGATATTCTAAAAAGCAGGCTCTTTTTTGGCCAGGCCTTGTGCATATAGCCTTCCTAGCCAAGATTACCTTCCCCCTCAAACCAAAAATCCTGACTTAAGATCAGTAAAAAGCAGGAGTAAAAAACCAGACAGGTAAGGGTCATGCAAAGTTTGCGCCTGCCAAGAGCAATCTCACCCCTTCCACTTCCCCCTCAGTCCTGTCACTAGGTAGACAGAATCTGTTAAGCCTATCACAGCGAAACGCGGGAAATCTCTTGCTCTCTCTATAAAACAGCTTCCCCTCCTGCATCCAGTTGAGGGTTCCCGAAAATTCGGAAGGCAGAACGCGAGCCAGGTCTGAGGGCCCCCTCCCGCTCACCGAATCAACTGACTCTTCTGCAGAGCATAACGAATAAGCTGTTGTCTCTGTTGTCCCGTGTGTGTCTGATAAGTGAGAGTATTGCTGTGTAAAGTTAGTTAAAGGTTTGTTAAATAATAGATTTAGGAGTAAGTTAGTTAGAAGTTTGTTAAATAGTACTGTTAGGAGTTTAGATAGATGTTAGACCTTATGAGTGAAATTAATGTAAATATAGCTGTTAAAAATCCCTGGGCTGTTGTTGATAATTACTGGGACTTGGAAAAACCTCAGGGTATTTTCCTCTATTGCACTGCATTTTGTTTGCTGTTCCTGCTAATAGTTATTTGGCGCTCACGCCTATAAAAACTGTTAAATAGAAAGTTATAGTTAAAAGCATTTTAATATAAGTTAAAAGATACTCAGTACAAGTTTGCCTGTTTCTGCATCTCCCTGGGGCTGGCCACATTCCCGAACCCTCTACTTTACATCATAACAAAAAAATCCCAACAAACTGATTTTTTTGGTAACTCTCTAATATCTGTTGATGTAAAGGTTCAAAAAAAATTAAAGATTCTGTAATAATTTGTGGGCTAGGATTAAAAAGAACTTGAAAAAATGAAGACTACTAAAATATGGACTGCAAGAAATGTTTGAAAAGCTTTCAGAATACTACAATGCATTTGCACTGCCTTGAGGAAACTACTCAGAACAGCAGAAAAATACCTAGTGAGCAAGTTACTAGACCTCCCAATAAGGAAACACCTCCTTTTGGCCAAAGATGAAGTGCTGTTATTTCTATATCTGAAAGAGAAGGTTTCATAGCATGGATCATCTTGACAGTCTCAGTAAAGTTCAATAATTGTGGCAGACATCTTGTGGGACCAGCAGATCTTCAAGACTGTGTATTAAGAAAAACATATCTAATTAGTTTTCAGATATTTGAGACCAAAATCTGAGAAGAACAACAGGTCTAGTAATATTAGAGCCATATCTAAATCAGAGCGATCTCTTAGCATACTAAAGATTCAAAATATGAATCTTCACTGAAGATCCAGTGCAGCAAAGAATTTAAGCCCATGTTTAAATCCATTCCTATTTAGCAAAGCACTTAGGGTGTGTCTAAACTACATGGATCCTTCAATGGAGCCATGTAGATTAGGCTGATCAGCAGAGGGAAATGAAGCCACAATTTAAATAATCGCGGCTTCATTTAAATTTAAATGGCTGCCGCGCTGAGCCGACAAACAGCTAATCAGCTGTTTGTCAGCTCAGCATGCTAGTCTGGAAGCTCCCGCGCCGACCTGAAAGCCCTTTATCGACCTCCCCATTATGCCTCGTAGGATGAGGTTTACCAGGGAGGTCGATAAAGGGCTTTCATGCTGACAGGGGAGCATCCAGACTGCCCCGATCTGCCGACAAACAGCTGATCGGCAGAGTGGGGCAACAATTTAAATTTAAATGAAGCCGCGATTATTTAAATCGCAGCTTCATTTCCCTTTGCCGAACAAACAAATCTACATGGCTCCGTCGACAGAGCCATGTAGTCTAGACGTACCCGTGGGTACATGTTTAAGTGCTTTTCTTGATAAGGATGCACTTGCTCAGTGAGGACCTGAGTACTCGTAGCTCTCACTGATTTCAGCACATCTCAAATCTTACCAATTAAGCACTTTTCATCTCTCTTCCAAATTGTGCTAAGCAAAAGAAAAATGGTGAATTTATTCTGTTACCATAGTATATGTAGATGTACATAGTATCTACAGTAAAAGCAGTCACTAATAGCAAAATCCTGGCTTGGCAAAATCCCTATTGACTTCAAACAGGTGCAGAATGTTGACGAAATACAATAGTTTGGCCAAATATATACAAACAAGTTGCCACCTGGAACTTTTCTATTATTATTCCATAAATAGATCTGGTGGATATCACTGGGATTATGCCAAGGTCTTGTACTTTAACATCTCATTTATTTAAGTACAGCAAAGATGAATCAAAAGAAATTTTGCTTTCAGAAGGGCAAAGCTGTCTTGCCATTCCCTGGCAATCTATCATGATAATAACAGAGGCCTCTAAGGCTATGTCTAGACTACAATGATCTATCAGAAAAAGGTATGCAAAATGCACTCCGCAATTTGCATACCTTTTTCTGATAGTTTTTTCGGAAGAGACTTTTCTGAAATTTGGTCCATCCACACTGGGCCAAATTTTGGAAAATCATCCTC